AAGCTTTGAGAGTTGATGTGTCACCGTTTTTTGGAGCAATGACATCGATGTCAAATAGACGCTATGTTACCACTAATTCCACCGAAGTGTTCAATCAATTCTCATTTTATTTATTTTTTATTTAATTAGTTGAATAGTTCATTCAACCATGGTTTTTAAAACCAAACCGATCAGGGGTCCGGCTACCAGGTTGAATGGTTCGACTGTTCAAACCGAATGGTTGGCCCGTTCTAACAAAAAATAAAAAAAAACAAAAAAACGATCAAAACCGTTCGAACAGTTAACCGCCCAGGTCAGCAATTTGCTGACCAAAATCAACGATTTTAGGCAAATTTCCGGTTTTGGGGAAAATTGAAACCAATCACCTGACTGATTTCCAATTTTTCCAGTCTGACCGTCCAATCCGGTCCGATTTTGAAAACCATGCATTCAACCATGAAACCATATCAATCATCATCAAAGCCTTGTTCCGACTATATAGGGTCAGTTACATAAATTCTATTTTGTCTATTTGTTCTATTCAGCGTCATATCCGTCATCAAATCTTGAATGGTTAAAACTTCCAAGCTTTTTTCGGTATGCCTGTAACTATTCTAACCCTTGCAACTTGTAATAAAATCAGTTTTTTCCAACAGATGTTGTTGATAGCCTTCTATACACATATTGGAGCCTGTGCCAATATACATGTGTTATAGATTTTTGTAATATAAAGTATAAATCTTGTTACTCGTAATTTTTTTCCTTGGCAAAATATATTCATTTTTCCTTGCATATTTTTCAAAAAATGCACCATTACATTTTGTGATTTTTTAAATGAAGAAAAAATCGACCATTTTAACTTCAATGGTGATTCACGAGGATCTCATTTGGTAATTACTTTGTCGATCTGTTCTACCATGCAGCTACATGTTTTCAAGCCAATGAGTATTATTCACTAACGTTGTTACAAGTAAAAACTGGACCGACCATTGATCCTCTAAGGGGTTATTTGATAATGGCTGAAGTCACAGGACTGAATGACTTATTGATTTGCCTCTAGTGAATAAAAATAATTAAATGATAAAAACATTTAAGTATATGGTAATTAACCCAATTTCAGTTTCAGCCATTAAAGAATTCAAATCTTTTTTTTTTTTTTATCCCAAACTTTACTCTAGATGAAGGGAGCCACCTTAAAATTTTATTAATTATCCAACTTCAAAAGCAATAAGAAGAGCCATCAGCCAATACTAAGAACAATAAGTTTCATATAATCCTCTTTGAACAAGTTTATAAGCTCATGTGGAGCACCGTGCATAGACTCCGCTTAGTTATGCCTATGTTGACCAAAAAATCAGCACATCGGTTCCCTTATATAAGAGTATGAAGGACTTTGATTCTTATGAAATTGCAAATCTTTCTGATATCCCCTAAGGCTCAGTTTGGAAGGAATGCAAATACAATTATCTAGAACGCAAAACCTTGTATTTTATATTATTTTGTATATATTTGCATTTGTATTATTTCTAAATTGAGCTTAAGGTTGCATTTGGTTGTAATGTAAATGCAAATATGTACATTACACATTTATCCATTTTTCGGTTCATGAATGTAAACATGATTCACATTTTAAACTGTTTTTGCATTCATCTTGTTTGTTTGAGATAGGTGCAAAGTGTGAGCCCATCATTAAATGCTCTAATGCCTTTAACTTTGGTCAAAAAGTTAAATTTTCAAAAGAACACAAAATTGTATAAAAAAAAAATAGGTACAATAATACTCTTTTCTCGTAGTACAAAAGTGTTAGATAATACATTTTTGCTCTGATAATCATTACTTTTTTACATATCAAACAAACGTTTGCAAACGCGAACCAGTGTACATAAATACCCTGATTCGGTGTTTGTATCGCAAACAAACGGAGCCTAAGTGATAAGTGATGGACCACGGGCAAGGAATCTTCTCAAGAAGAATTTCGACTAGGTGTTATTAGAGAGCATGCCAAACATATTTTAAGGGCTTATTTGGGAAGGGTGAGGCAAAGATTGAGTTAAGTTGGTTCAACTTTTTTGGTTTGGAGTACTCTGAATTCTAGATAAATAAGCTATTCTTGTTGGATTATAGTTGAGGCCTGAAAGGCTCAAATGGACTACACAACGGAAATAGCTCTATCCCCCCATTTACAGTCATATGGGTCATACTTAGACTTGTTCATGGGTCGGGTAGCCTGACGGCCCGGCCTGGCCCAGCCCGCACCTCGGTCGGACTTGGACATATAATTAGGCCCGCGGGCCTGAACTCATACCCAAAGTAGCAAGTCTGACTGTGTTTTGGGCCGGGCTCGGGATTTGTCAAAAAAGCCTGGCCCGACCCAACTCAGCATTATATATTTTATAAAATATATAATATAGAATATATAATATTTATTAGAATATATATATATATATATATATTAATAATTTAATGTATACATTTTTTATTTTTTCTTTATAATCTCTCACTCTCTCTCTCTATTCAGCCGCTTCAGCAATAACAGCGGCATGAGCTAGACTTTGGGCTCGGGCCTTAGAAAAATCTGTTAATGGAGAGTGAAAATCTGGTCCAACTCGGCCCATGAACAGATTTAGTTATACTCATAATGGTATCCAAGTCCGACAACATTGATGGGCACATAAGATTAACATACAAGATCTCCTTCTCATTTGATAACCATTGTTTTGGCTTTGTTGCTGAGGTGGTGAGGTTTGGTGGGCCACATGATTTGCAAGCTACCAAAAAAAAAATAATAATAAAAATATCATGTGAACCTCTCGGGTGTCATGTCTAGGAGTTTTGCTTAAGCAAGATAGCAAGTTTCATTTACCACACAATAAAGCTTCCTTCCTTGTTCCTTCACATGTATCACAAAACCATCATCTGTATGGCATAGGATGTTGAGTCATGTTGCAAGGAAGGGCCTGTTTGGGAGGGTTGAAGCTTTGGTTGAGCTAGTTTTACCAAATGGACAGAGTAGGGCTATCACTATCAAGTATCAGCCTCTGATTCATGCCTGAGCTCGGTCAAAATTTAACAATTTCTCAACCATTAGGCAGGCTATGCTTGCACCTAAAAATACGATATTTAAATTTTAAATTAATTGTTGTCGTATTTAGGTGTGGTTTGAAACTTAATTTGAACCCATTTTCTAATGCAGCCATTTTCTTTCCTTCAATTGAAGCTCGAGTATAGTTGGCAAATGAGTGTGATTTTTGGACCCACCCAAGCTGTCACGTGTGCAGTTTGTGTAAAATAAAAACTGAATGCATTTTACTTTGAACAAGTGCCAATTCCTCATTTGGCAGTATTTAACAATTCATTCTATAGATTTGAGAATCAATATCAATATAACACTTTTGGTGCTCTCTGAATAAGTGGATTGGACAAACACCTTAATATTTTTTTCTTCTCCGTGTCTTAGAGAGTGATCGTTTTTATGGTTGACTTGCATTTACATGCCAAGCAAGGGCGGAGTCAGAAAATTTTTATAAGGGGGTCAAAACCTAAATGAAGTATGGATGGACTCATAGGAGGGACTATTGAGGTGGAGAGTGGGAGGAGAGGAAAATTTAAATAGAAACTATGTAGGGTGCATGGCTCCCCTGGGTCCCTCTGGCTCCGCCCCGATGCCAAGGCAAATTAAAACCATGAAAATTGTTAGAATTAATTATTACTTTTGCCCAAGCAGTGGTTAGGGGTGCAAGTCAGGCACCCGTTTTGTTTTGGGTCGGGCTATTCAAGTTTTGACAAAATTCTAACCCGTTTTGTTTGTCAGTATTTAGGGAGGGATTAAATTGATCAATCAATAAATTGATCATGATCTTTGCATTCATTTGCCACTATATTTGAGTTCTACGATAAACAAATATAAGAGAGTATGAAGAGTATCATTCAAAAACACTAAAATCCCACTTGAGCAAATTTTACTAGAAAATACTTGCATATGTAACTAAAACGAATTGGGCATAGTAATTAAACAATTATAGAATCAAAAACTTATTTTAGGCACCAAACCCATAAAATTTTATTGGCAGCATTGGAATCTCTTTTTTTTTTTTTTTTAAAGCCGGTCAAAGAAACAAAATTAAATATATATATGTATATATAAATTACTTTGAAGGTCTGAATGCACATTTATTATAATACCCTTTACAATTTTAAATTTGCTAATGCGGTCCCACAGTTACTTTTTATAGGATCCGAGTGGTCCTTCAGTCACCCACCAGGCCACCAGGACCATCTAAGTTATTTAGACCACGGTGGCCCTTTTCATCCTTGGCGCTCGGATTTATGGAAGATTCTCGACTTTGACCCAATTTGGTTTCAATAAAATAATAAAAGAAACAGAGTAGTCCATGTTCACAAATGGGACGAAATGAGCAAAATAAAGTAATGGGCGCCCCTTTTAGACAATTTCTTTTAAATAAATGCCCGTTTTAGTGACTCGAGTTAAAGACTCAAGAATTCTTGAGAAGTCCATCCCAAATCCAAAACACAGAGAGAATTAGAGAAAGACAAGAAAAAACGGGGCACAGCCCTTGGATTGGAGATCCCAATTCTCAAGGGTGGGAGATTGACAAAATTTTGAATTTTTCGGAACTTGGCTAGCGGGAATGATGGAATTTCTGAAAGATTTAGGGGGCATTTCTAGCATTTGACGTTGCAGAAAGAAGTTTGGTCTAGAGAGAGATTTGGCAGGAAGACGGGGCTAATTCTGGTCAATCATGTATGGAGGCAGTAATGATATCTGCAGCAGCTCAATCCACCACCGAAGCTACAAAAATTTTCCAGGACTCGATAAAAAAATAAGACCAAAATAAAGACTTTTGCTCAAACAAAAGCAGGTTTTGGGTTTTCCGCAGGTAAATCTACTCTTCTTTCCTTGTTTCTCTGCATAAATTTTATTTATTTTTTGATACTGATATTTATAATAACATTGTTTGTTTTCATTAAATAATCATTAATTTTGTTTCTATAATTCTCCTTCTTTGCCAGAAATAGTGGGCTAAGAGGGTGGTTTGTCTTCCCTAAGCTGAATTAGAATTTTCCCATTTCTTCTTTTGTTCATTCTCTCTCTCTTCTTTCTATCCTGTTGTTTGTTGTTGTGTCTTCTGTGCATTGACTGTTCTCCTTTTCTTATATTACTTTGTGTCTAATTTTGGTTTTGTTTATTTTTTTTATTCGTTTTGGGTATGTTTGAGAAGCTGTTTTGAGCGAAGGAATATCTGTTTTTTTTTTTTTTATGGGGTTATTTTCTCCAGAGCAGAGAGTGGAGAGAGATCGAGCTTGTCCCGAAGAAGAAGAAACTATGATCTTAGAATCTGACTGAAGGGTAGAGTTCTCTGACATTTCTGCAGGGGGATTGAGATTTTGAGCTGGGAACCATGTCTCAGACAAACTGGGAAGCCGATAAAATGTAAGTATTTCGTTTATATGCGTTTTTTCTCCCTTCTTTTTCTCTTGTTTTTATTTGTTCTGTTACTCTCCTTCCCTTTCTAGTGGGTCTCCTTTTGGGTTCTCTTGTGGGTTTCCTGTTTTTGGTTTCTGGGATTCTTGTGGTCTGGTTTTCTCTTCTGGTTTTTTATTTGGGGTTTGTTTCTGTAGTGGGTTCTTTTCATTCTTCTTTTTCTTTTTTGGTGTTTTCTCATTTGAACATCTCTGACTTTTTTTCTTAGGGTTTAGGTTCTTGCAATAGCTCCTTTGTTTCTGCTTTTACCTTGGGTTCAAGATTTTCAACTTTGAAACTTGGGTTTAGGTTATAAATGAGCTAGGTCTGTCGATGTTTCTTCTCTTTTGCCCCTCCTCTGGAGTCTGCAGTTTTTTTTTTCTCCGTATCATTTATCAAGTTTCAATCTTTGTTTCTGAATGGTGATATTTTTTCTTGTATTTCTTCGTAACAGGTTGGATGTGTATATCTATGATTATCTAGTGAAAAGGAACTTACAGGCTTCAGCAAAAGCCTTTCAAGCCGAAGGGAAAGTGGCTTCAGATCCTGTTGGTAAGATTATAAGAGATACGACAAATAAGTAATATCTCTTTGAGTTTCTGATTTTCAAATTTTCACATTTTGAGGGTTTTGAAATATGGGATTACATTGGTTTTCAGCTATTGATGCTCCTGGCGGTTTTCTTTTTGAATGGTGGTCCGTGTTCTGGGATATCTTCATTGCAAGGACAAATGAGAAACACTCTGAAGTAGCTGCATCTTACATCGAGGTGGGTATGTTTGTTTTTGTGTCTTGCATACTTTTTGGGGGTGAAGGATTTTTTCGTGTCCTTCCCTCCATAATTATAATTTCTTCCTTTTCGTTTCCTTTCAGCTTTGATGATTTTAAGCTTTAACTTCACAAGGCATAGGTTTTTATTTGCATTTTTTGTTCATTTGTAGTGTTTATTCAATTCTGTTCTATTCTTTAATATGTACTTTGCAGACAATAAAATAAGACCACTCTGTTTGAGAATCAGAGAATATGCCTTGTTTCAGAAGTATCATCAATATGTTTTGAGTATCTTATATGCTGCATTTTCTGCAGGTGGTTGAAATACACTAGAATTGTTTCTCTAGGGTTTGGGTTGGGATTTTTCATGTTGCATCTAAAATGTGGTTATCTTTTCCACTGGGAAGAAAATTCCGCAAGTGTACTCTTGTTTTCATGAGGCATTTTGTGGACTGTTTTGATGTCTATCTTCAGTGGCATGATTTGGCACCTTTTATTTGCCAGGGTGTATTTGTATTTGGTTACTTCTGCTTGACATGTCTCTATATGTCTATACCACTCAAACCTTTGAGGATTCACTGACTAAAATTAACTGCCCAAGTAACTCAACTATTCTGTGTCTTGAAATCTTTTTTGAACTATCTGGAGGCAGTTACAGGAATCCTGTATGCCATTTACTCCATCTAGGACCTGAAAGTCCTCTAATATTTTCCATAGTTGTCAAGGCGTTGCCTAGGCGACAAAAATGACAAGGCGGACGCCTTTTCTAATGTCATTTATATTGATGTATCTTATTAATGTATGTGTTACTACATTTTATTATATGTGTTGAAGATTAATTAGTTTTATGATGTTTTTCTGAGTAGATGTTTTATGTTAGTTGTTAGATAGGAGGTGGGGACCACAGTAGTTATGTCAGTCCAAATTTTATTATGTTTTTTGAGTGTTATATATGCTGTTTTATGTTTT